TTTCCATCTGGCGTTGATAAGTAAGCTATTTACCCCACTAGCGTTAGCGAGCACACTCCCGCACCACTCTACGATCAGGGTGAATAATGTGCTGATTAAAGGAACGGACCGCCGCTCATATTGAGTTTTTTTTTCAGCTGTACGGCGCAGAGCAGTTAGCCGTTAGCTCAGTGGTGCGTAACTGTGGAGAAGGGGGAGGAAAGGCAGTTCATTTTCGCCATTGGAAATCGAGGTTAAGATAGCACCGTGGCACAAAACACACTCCACCCCTCGCTAAAGCACTTCTCTCAATGCAGGGGCTCAGTGCGCAAGAATTACTTTCAAATGCTTTTAAGGGCTTTTTCACTGGAAAGAGATGTTTTGAAATGAATAAATGTACAACTGAACTATGCTCTGGGTTTGTGAGAGGTTTGAATTCGTTTCAGTGGTTTGCACCTGAAGGCTAATGGGCTAGTTAACAAGTTTGCACCTCTTACATGCATCATCTGATGCTTAAGCCAAAATTTAGATTTTCGAATGAAAGTGTTGCACACAAAGTCAGCAGGTAGTTGACTTGAGGCATTGTTTGATTAGTTAGAGTCTATGGACATACCATATCAGCAATGTCAGAACAAAGTCACATATCTCCAAAGTAGTAGCTTTACAACAGAAGGAAAAAATCATAGCTGGTAATGAAAGCCACTGTAACAAGATATTTTTCTAAGTAATTTTGGACTTTCTGTCCATTCATTGTGAAATTTTGACACAATGCAAAAAATGTTTAAAGTAAAACATGGCCTCATTAAAATATCATCACGGCTGTGGCCAGGCCTGTCACAATTATTACATAGTCTTGAATTATTTAGGCACAGCCTTATGTTTATGTTGCAGCAACAAGTTCTGACTTATGACTGGTGCTATAACACCTTTAGAGGGCAGCAGTGAGTAATGTTTGTTTATTTGAGCTTGAACTGTTTCTGTAGTCAGAGCTAGTAAATACTGACAGCTAGAAAGCAAGATAGCTAATCATCCAGTTTGGGCAATTTAGATTGACACTTTAATACATACATACAATATTTACATACAATGAACAAAAAAAGACAGGTTGTTAATCGCATTTTTAGATGCAAAGTCCCTCATGGACCTGGCCTGTAACTCACTCACTCACTCACACACAATTAACAAGATTGTCCACAAGCTGCTGATACTCTTGTAATTGCTTGTTGGTTTTACTTTTTATTTTAGTAATAGCTTCTGTTAATGCTAACCCTGGACAAGCCTTTGAATATTAAGCAATGGTATTCCTTTAACTGTTTGCAACTAATTTGAACTAATTATTTTATTTTTTTTAACTTAGAGATACCACTTTTTCCTTTCTGACTCTGATAACTGATCCTCAAACATCTCAAATAACTCTGTCTAAGTACTCAATGGAGGCCTATAAACCTTAATATTCATTAGTTTTTATTTATTTTAGTAAAAGCAGTGTTTTGTGCATGTGTGTGTGTGTGTGTGTGAGTGTGTGATATTGCTAGCCTCTTGGTTCTGGCGCGATGCAAGTTTAACCAATTGTTTTATCTGTTTTACTTGTGTACCTGTATCTCTTCGTTTCTTTACTGTCTTATAATTTTTATGTTACTATTAACGTCTTCTTTTAATTGTCTTATACTTGTTTGATTCTTTGTCTTGCTGCTTTCTTGTTGTATGTGTGTACGCTGTAATTGAGGTTACTCCCTCAGAGTTTCAACCTGTCTTACGCTCACCGCACTTCATATGTAGGTTATAGTGGAGGGCTGGGCAATATCCTTCTAATTGCTACTGTGGTAAATTACATCACAATATGTCACAATTTATCACAATATCATTTTCTATAGATATCATGAATATCGTTAGTACTTCTAGAATACTGACTGACTGCATGTCATTGGAGTTAGAGCAGTGCAGGATGTTAAATGATTAATAAAAATCTCTGTATTCATAGTTTTCAGTAATATTTTCAAATGTGGCATTACTGGTTCTTTTTTGCCTGTTTTCAAAAAAAAACATTCTGGCAGAATGTTAACTATGGATTATCAGCCCAGAAATTGTGGTGGCACGTCCCTTTATATTCCTAACAACCATATGTAAATAAGATGAGATCCAATGAGAAGGTTCTTCAGTTCATCAAAAACAAAGAGAGGTCAGAAGCGCCACACAGGACCTTCAAACATGACATACGGTACAACATCGTAGGCAGCGGACGTTTAATTACAGCTGGTCAGGCTGTGTGCTGCGTGCTGACAGTGGCCAGCTGCCTCAGTGCGATGAGCGCTCAGGCCTTGATGTCAGGGGAAGCGGGGAAAAGTGCAGAGTCACCTCATCGCTTCTTTGTTCTCTGAGCTAACGGCGGCGATATGGGAGCTGGCGGAGCTCTCAGCAGACTCTCAGACTTAATCAGCCTCTTGTCGTTGTCCTGTTCCAACCAAGCAAAAATCTGCAGAGCTGTCTCTCACAGCAGTGTCCCGCTGAGGAGCGCTCTCTGTATCTTCAACTTCACGCTCCTTTTAAAGATTGTCTCTCTCTCTTTCTCACAGGCCGAGGGAATAGACCCTCTTTGCCTTCAAACTTTGTTACTTCTGACTCTGTATCTCTCTTTTGTGCTGTACTTGCTGTTATTGTTGTTGTTGAGGGACAAATGGGCAACTAATTAAAGGCTAAGAGGGTGAATATTTCTGTCCAGTGATGGCAGTTCATTAGGGCTGCAACTACCGAATATTTTAATTTTGCAAATAGTCTATTAAATATTATCTTGACTATTTGAGTATTCTATAAGAATAAGAAAAACTCAAGATTGGTGCTGATCGTTTGCAAACTATGGTGTTGAAACAATGCAGTTTCAGTAGATGGCATAAAAAATAGAATATCTGTTCTCCTTGATGCACACTGTCACATTTCAGTGGTCTCAGTTATAGATTAAGGTTATTTGAATTACGTTGTTTGAGTATTTTCTCAGATTTGTTTACTGAATTTTCTTTTTGTTCACCAGTTTTAATGATTGTAATACTTTAAATGGCCCATATCATATTTATTTATGTATCAGAAACAGTCATAATTCATTTTACCTGACCATTTTCCAAATCTCTCTTTGTCCCTTACAATTAAAGAGCTGTTTTTGTTTCTGCCCCTTTAATACTGGGATATGTTAATGAGCTCTGTATAATTGGCTGATTAGTTTTTCCATATATGGACAGTATGACTAGGGATTTAAACATGTTTAGGGTTTAATGATGTTTACACAATAAAGCAAATGTTTATTTTAAAAAACTGAAAATGAGGTTTTCTATGGTATGGGCCCTTTAAGACTCCAGTGTTTCTTGCATCTGAAAAGCGCATGTGAATATTGGAAAAAGCGTGTTAAATTCCCACTGCGGGGCTTGTCGTGTTTTGCTGTCCTGCCGAGTAAACCAAACCAGCCTCAGGTGTTCACTGCAGAGGGAGGTTAATAGCGTTCTCTCCTGCCTCTCCTTCTTTTTGTCCTTTTCTATTTCTGTCTCTACCCTTCTCTCTCTCTCCGTGTGCTATCTTTACACCAAGTTAGAGCGCATCCGTTAGCTGGAGCACCTGAGGAAATGCTGATTGATTCTTTTGGCACATTCCCACAGATGTTTGTGGAGTGTGTCTTCAGACCCAGTCACGCTTGCATTTGCCAGCGAATTTTCGCAATGGAATTCACTTTGATTAGCGATTTCGGGTTGCAGGCTTTTGGGGACAATGAAATTTGTGTGGCACACAAATTTGCATCCTCTACCAATAGCACTGTGGCTTTGGCTGTGATTACCTCTGAAAGGACGGGGCTTCGTATAGCACCAGTGAACCAGAGCTGTTTTACCCGTTGTGTCAAAAACATGACTGCAAAACACTAGAGGGCGCCTGTAAGCGACTCCTCAATGAATGGGGGCGAATTGAGCTAAACGGCTAAAAATAGAAAATTTAACTGTTTCTAATCATTTATGCTGGACATTCCTTTAATATTGGAAAGTAGAAAGATTTATTAAGTATTAAACTAAAAAATGAAAAAAATGTAACTGTTTATTTCTTTATTCTACAGAATTGGGTTTTGGGCAGCAGAATACTAAAAATTACTGCTACTAAGTGTTGATTGATTAACATTACTGCTACTGAGTTCTGAATAATTTGCATTAGCACCACTGAGTGCTGACTGGTTAGCATTATTGCTACTGAGTGCTGACTGGTTAGCATTACCGCTACTCAGTGCTAATCGGTTAGCATTTTTGCTACTGAGTACTGATAGGTTGGGATTACTGCTACAGAGTGCTGATTGGTTAACATTACTGCTACTGAGTACTTATTGGTTAACATTACTGCTACTGAGTGCTGCCTGGTTAACATTACTGCTACTGAGTGCTAATGGGTTAGCATCACTGCTACTAAGTACTGATTGGTTAACATCACTGCTCCTGATTGCTGACTGGTTGGCATTACTGCTACTGAATGCTGATTGGTTAGCATTACTGCTATTGAGTGCTGATGGGTTGGCATTACTGCCACCGCCAACCAATGCCAACCATCTGGATGACCATCTAACAACACCCAAGGAACAACCAGTGATACCATAGCAACCATTTAGCAGTACCCTAGCCACCACCTGGGATGACATAACAACCACCTAACAATACCCTAGCAACCATCTGGAACACCATAGCAACCCCAGCAACAATAAGATACCATAATAACCACCTAGCAAACCCCTGGAACAAGTAACCACCTAGCAACCATCTGGAACACCATTTCAGCCCCCACTTGGTAATTCCTTTGCAACAGCCTAACAACCACCTAATAGCTGCATAGCAACAGCTGCCTAGCAATACTGCTTAAGCTGATCAATCACCCCAAATTTTGTACTTTTCTATTAATGACTGAGCAATTTATTCATGACAATTAATTTTTATTTATGATCATTAATGACCAGGGATTTTATTTCTAATTAATGATAAGTAATGATTGTCTTTTCTGTTTTTCAGAGCCTGGCTCGGGATCTGGGGATGAAGGTAAAGATGATTACACACGCGCACACACACACACACACACACACACACACACATACTCACACACACACACATCTATTGTTCATTAAATATATGCTTTCAATCGCACACCGGCACACATAGCGCCTTTTTGTCCTTTCTGTTTCCCATACTCTCTCTCTCTCTCTGTCTCTCTCTCCCTCTCTACCCACACACACACACACTCTATCTATTGATCACTAAATATATGCTTAAACACACACGCACATCCCTCTTTCTTCTTCTCTTGCTCTTTCTCTCTCTCTTGCACAGACACATCTATTGTTCATTAAGCATATGCATATGTCCATGTGTCCCCTTCTAATAAATGGGTTTGACTTTTTCAGCCACACCCACTGCTAACAGAATGAGTCATACTGAAGAGTTCAGTGACTTTAAATGTGGCACTGTCATACGATACCACCTTTCAAACAAGTCACATTGTCCAATCTCTGGCCTGTTAGAGCTGCCCTAGTCAACCGTAAATGTCGGCATTGTAAAATGGAAATGTCTTATAGCAACAACAGCTCATCCGCATAGCAGTAGGCCACACAAGCTGACATGAGTGGAAGGCTGAAGTGTATAGAGAGTTAAAATCATCTGTCCAGAGAGTTACAGCTCTCACTGTCGAGTTCCAGACTACCTATCAGGACACAAACTGTTCATCTGGAGCTTCATGGTTTCAGTGGCCGACTCAGACTTGCACCTGAGAGGCTCGAGAATTGACTCACAATGGCACCTCAGAGACTCAACACGAACCTCAAAGACTCAAGATTCTTGACTCATATCCCAGAGATCTGAGACTTGACTCAGATTTGCACCTCAGAGAACCAACATAGACTCTCACCTCAGGAACTTGATTTACACTCGCACTTCAGAGACTCAACCCGGACTCGCACCTCAGAGACTCAACCCGGACTCACACCTCAAAGACTCGACTCAGACTTGCACCTCAGAGACTTGAAACTTGACTTGGACTCGCATAACAGAGATTCAGCTTGGACTCACACCGCAGAGACTCGAGGCTCGACTTCGACTTGCACTGAAGAGACTTGTGACATGACTCAGACTTGCACCTCAGAAACTCAACTTGAACTCACACCTCAGAGGCTCGAGACTCAACTTGCACTCAGACTCGCACCTCAGAGACTCGACTCAGACTTGCATCTCAGGAACTCACACCGGGACACCAAAGACTCAAGACTCGACTTTAGATTTTCAGACTTGGACTTGCACCTCTCACACACACCACTTCTCCTTTTTTGTCTTTCTTTCTCATAAACACACATTCACACACCCATGCATAATCACAGTCCATCCCCAGCTGTCTGGCCTCCTGTGCCCCTCGCCCACAAATGAAATTCAATTACTTGATGCTCAGCCATTGGTGAGAAAAAGAGATTATTGCACACTCACACATCATGTGTGACGAGTGAGTGACAGCATATCCTACATCGCTCCACATGGAAATGAGGCTCATCTGAAACCTTTTCCCTCTCTTCCTCTCTCTCTCCCTCTCTCTGTCCACCTGGAAGCTTCAACAGCTACTATATTAATATTCTTTTTCTACATGAATAATGTTTCTTGGTCTGTGATCGTTTTTCATCCTCTGTTTCTGTTGTTATCCATCATGAGCGAGAGGTCGTCTTTCCCTTCAACTTTCAAGAGTGCGAAACTTTTTGATATGAAGAAAAGAGGAAGTTTGTTTGAGACAAGGAAGATGGTAAACAAACAGAAGTCAACTCAGCGTTGATCACATTAATGAGTCTGGACTAAGCCTGAGTGATATAATGATAGTGTTTAAAATCTGACATTTTTTGGATAACAGTAGTGCTTTGGGCTTGTGTTATTTTGCTAAAATGATAGTTCTGTCCCTCAACTTGAACAGCTGCTGCTTCAGTACACTAGGGCTGTGTCTTGTTCACACACTGGTTCCATATGTGGTGAATCAGCACATAGTAAACAGGAATTTGGGCACTGACTAGGTCCCTAGAGGTGGGAACATTGGGACACTGATGACGGATGTGAAAATAGTACACAACGACACAGTACCAGCAACATCGAATGTGCAGCTCATCCGCTGTGCTGCGATTAGCCATACTGTTATTTTTAGGATGGAATATTCCAGTCATTTCATGAGCACTCTCATTTTGTGTACACTGAGACCAGATACAGCCATGTGTCAGTCACACAGCCATGTTTAATAAAATTAAGCCTTTCTCCAGGCGATTAACATTGCTAACATAAATGCTAATTTCTGTTAGCATCGCTAGCACCAAGCTAACAATAGTTCACATAAACAATTGATAGCAGGTGTAGCTAAAACACAGGCAGCTGATGACAATTTATAGCAGGTGTAGCTAAAACACAGAAGAATATAAGTGGCCTAGTTAGCCTGTTAGCAGGTCAGGCCACTTTAATGTAATGGTTTGTTCATAAAATAAATAAATAAATTTTAGTACTTGTATAATATGGTGTGTTCTATTATGCTAAATATAGCATATGATTATTTATGGGTAGTGGTGAACATTAACATCAAAGGGTATAAGTAAATTTAAATTAGGAACAATTGCATCTGGTTAGCTAAGTAGCCAACAGGTTGCTGTGAACATTTCAGTTAGTAGAAAACTGACAATGAATGATAACCTGTGATAAAATCTCTCACTAGATTAAACTTTGTCAGTGCGCTCCTAGAAAAGATGGTTCTTCAAGCGTTCTTTACTAAAGACAATGGTTTTATATAGAACCACGAACATGTAAAGAACCATATGCATGCTTAAAGGGTTCTTTGCATTGTGAACTGGTTCTTTAGATTGATGCAGAATGTCACATTGTTTAGATTGATGCAGAATGTCACATTGCTTGACATTGTTGCAATAGCAGAACCCTGTATAGAAATATAGAGCCCTTTTCAGAAAAGTTCTATATAGAACCATCTATAGCACATTCTCCTTCAATCTGAAGAACGTTTTCATGATTCAAAGAACACTTTAGAACCCTTTCTTCCTGATTCTATATAGAACCTTTTTGTTTTACTAAAGAATCCTTAAAGAACCATCTCTTTTAAGTGTATAGGTCTTTTACTTACCAAACGGGGGGAGAAGAAGTGTAGCACTCACTAGCTTCAATTAAACAGACAGGGAGAGTGAAGATGAAAAAGAGGGAGAGGAAAAGGATAAGCGAGCAGGAAAAGGGAGCGGTAAAGAGACAAAGAATTTGAAACAAGAAAAAGAAAGAACATGAGAGAAAAATGAGAGGGAACAAGAGAATGATAAAAAAGTGAAGGAAAGAGAGAAAATAAAATGAATGAGAGAATGAAAGAGAGACAGAACAACTGGAAGAGCTAGAAGGGACGGCGATAAGGGGGGGGGGGTGATATTTGCTGTGAAGGTAGGGAGGGGGAGATGATTAAAGAGAGAGAGGGAGAAGGAGGTGGCGATGGTGAGAAATGGCAACCGAGCATGCAGACGAAAAGAAAGCGATAGAGAATTAGGTAAAGCACAGCAGCATTGTGGTGTGATAAAAATCAAATGTATTTTAATGGTGGGAGATAAATCATAAGGGACTCTTCTCAGCCACAGAGGCCTTTAGAGCTCTTATGAAGGAACACGCTGGGGAACCGGAGGGCACCATGCACTCATTCACACGCTCACACACTCATACCAGGACTGTCACTATCGATTATGTTCAGAATCAAGTAATCTGTAATTATTTTAGCAATGAGTTTTCAAAAATAGGCCAAACAATGCATGGGTAGCTTTTCAAAGACGCCTAAATACTTTATTGAAAAATGATAAGCAAAGATGAGATGCACAATCAATATGCACAACCATCATTCAGACCATCAGTGCTGTTCCACTTGTTAATTCTAATCACGAAATCATGTTTAATCAAGCAATACTTTTGATTGCAGACTGTTGTGTAACATGGAAATTTAGATGCTACATCTACCTCTAACTCCTGCTGCTATACTGAAAACCTCCAAAGACTAGCAATTTTAGTGGCACATTTTTAAAGCCTTATTCCAACAAGCTTCACTTGTAATAATGCTTTTTGGGGTGAAAAGAGATCAAAGTTGCCAAAAGCAGCCTTCATGCATATTAGAATAAGCCTTTGTGAATGTTTATTTAGGCTTATGTCTGTCATCATTAAAAGACTAGTTTAAAATTGACTTGTTTTTCGACTTCCACCCCAAATGCAATCGATCAGACAAAACATTTGGTGATATTTGGTGTCCAAATTCTGCTTCTTTAGTTTAGAACTGGAGCTGCTAGAGCTAACAAACACTGAAAGGCAATAGTCACCCAAACTGTTTCCTTAAATACATGCCAAAATCTTCACATGTTCGCTACATAAAGCTACATTTTAAAAAGTGATTTAGTAAAATGGCATGGACAGATCTTATTTATGTATTGAAACTACATTATCATCCACATAACGCCCTACTTTCCAGTACTATTCTGCCTTCAAACCCTGGGAGGCTGAAGTTCATAGTGAGCCATGCTATGATCTAAACCACATCGACTTGTCTGCATGACCTGAATTAAGACCCGGGTGCAAGAAATTTTGGGAAGTATTTATGGAAACAGTTTGGGTGATAATTGACTTCCAGTGTTAGCGTCACTAGCCTAGCAGCTCCAGTTCTAAACTAAAAAAGCAAAATTTGGACACCAAACACATCTTGGCTGATCGACGTCATTTTGGGGTAAACTGATTTTTTGCTGAACTATTCCTTTAAAATGCTTACATACTTACGTACTACAAATCCTACCTTTTAGTAAAGTGCTCTCCATTTTTTGGTCCACATCGTTATTATTATCGCATTACACTTTCCGTCCACTTAAAAGTCAATCTGAATTGAAAGGGACCTTTTTCCGCTTCTTAGTTCACGTTCCTGCACGATTAAGCACAATTCATCATATATCATTAAAAAGATTCAATTCTTGTTTTTCCATAATCTAAAACTTAATAACTTTTGCCTGCCT